ATGGCATTGCCCAACAAGTTTTCTGGAGACAGTCAACGGGTCAAGGACTTCTTGGGACAGTGTGATGCCTATTTCACAGTGCGGAAAGCGGAGTTTCTGAATGAGGCAGCCAAGGTGGGCTTTGCCTACAGTCTGTTGGAGGGCCCGGCCCTCTCCTGGGCCACCGCGCTACGTGAGGCCGCTTCCCCTGTGTGCAACACTGTCAAGGCTTTCATGGATGAACTGCACAAAGTTTGGGGAGGCCAAGTGCACCGGGAGATGGCGGATCGTAAGCTGCGTGCCCTAACGCAAAGAGAGGGGTGTTTGGCCCAATACATTTCGGAGTTTCGTGTATTGCAGCAGGAGCTGGCTTGGAACGATGCCGCCTACATGAGCGCTTTCAAAGCGGGGCTCACCCAGGAGATGCAGTTGGAGGTGGCCCGTTCCGCTGTCCTGGCCAACTTGGAAGAATTAATGACCCTATGCATCCGGATAGATGGAACCATGGCCAATCAACGTCACATCATTGCTGGGCCTCGGCCAGTGGGTCGGAAGAGGGCCGATGCGGGAGTGCCACATCGCTTGGGTCCGCCGCCACCTCCTGCGCCCGATGCAGAGGAACCCATGCAGCTGGGCTCCATGCGCCCCAAAATTGATGCGGCGGAAAAGGCGCGACGGCAACGGCTAAACCTGTGTTGGTATTGTGGGGGCAGCGGGCATATCTCTCGGGAGTGCCCTGTCAAGAAGAAGACAAGCCCCCGCTTGGCGGGGATCTCCGGCTCAGTGGAGCCCGTGGCGCCCCAGGTCCAGGTATCCGGTGAGCAACGGGCCAACCAGCCGGCGGGGGAAGCCAACGACCGAGTTTAGCTGGGCTCGCAAACTCGGTCTCCACCCCATTTCCGGAGCCCGCGACTGGGATGCTGTTTTTTCTCTTGGTTTCGTTTTGTGTGGCCAAAAAGACTCCCACGGCGGTGCACGCGCTGGTCGACTGTGGGGCCACTAACAATTTCATGGACAGTCGGTTTGTGGAGTTCCTTGGATTACAATGTTTAGACCTCCAGCCTCCCCGGGATGTACAAAACTTTGATGGGCGTTTGCTGAAAGCCGGGCCGGTGGCTCGCTATACAGCGCCCATGCTGATGGAAGTCGGGGACCATGCGGAAGAGGTCTCCTTTTTGGTCACGGACCTTCCACATGCCGTGGTGTTGGGAATTCCATGGCTGGCCAAGCANCTTTGATGGGCGTTTGCTGAAAGCCGGGCCGGTGGCTCGCTATACAGCGCCCGTGCTGATGAAAGTCGGGGAACATGTGGAAGAGGTCTCCTTTTTGGTCACGGAGCTCCCACACGCCGTGGTGTTGGGAATTCCATGGCTGGCCAAGCACAACCCGACCATTTGGTGGGCTCAAAAAAGACTACAGTTTACTTCGGCCTCTTGCAAGGAACATTGCGGCGGGGAGCGGAAGTGCCGAACCGCGGAAGTAGCCGCACAAGCCACGGGCAGGTTGCCCGCAAAGTATCAAGATTTCTGGGATGTGTTCAGCGAGAAGGAGGCGGAAAGACTTCCTCCACACCGGCCATACGACTGCGCCATTGACTTGATCCCGGGCGCCCCGATTCCGCGTGGGCGATTGTATTCTCTCTCGGAACCAGAGCTGGCGGCTCTCCGGGAGTTTTTGGATACTAACCTATGCAAGGGGTTCATTCGTCCGTCGCAGTCACCGGCTGGGGCCCCAGTTTTGTTTGTCAAGAAGAAGTCAGGGGAACTGCGGCTTTGCAACGACTATCGGGCGCTCAACAACATCACGATCAAGAACCGCTATCCGCTTCCCCTCATCCCGGAGCTTCTCAACCGTTTGCGGGGAGCTCGGATTTTCACCAAATTAGACTTAAGGGGAGCTTACAATTTGGTGCGTATTCGTGAAGGGGATGAGTGGAAGACGGCTTTCCAGACCCGCTTCGGGAGTTTCGAATACAGGGTCATGAGTTTCGGGCTCTGTAATGCTCCAGCCACGTTCCAGCACTTCGTCAACGATATCTTTCGCGACTTTTTGGACCGATTTTTGGTCATTTATTTGGACGATTTTTTGATCTACTCCGCGAATCCACGTGACCACGCGCAACAGGTGCGCGCGGTGCTCCAGCGCCTAAGAGATCATGGACTCTATGCTAAGTTGGAAAAGTGCGCCTTCGATCTGGACGAAGTAGACTTTCTGGGACACCACATCTCTGCGGAGGGAATTTCCATGGACCCCGCTAAGGTTTCTGCGGTGTTAGAGTGGAAGTCCCCCATGAGCAAAAAAGACATTCAAAGATTCATGGGTTTTGCCAACTACTACCGCAAGTTCATCCCAGACTTTGCCCGCTGGGCAGATCCCATTACCCAATGTCTGAGAGGCAGACGGCCATTCCTGTGGACTGAGGCGGCAGAACAGGGTTTTCAGCAACTCAAGAAGCTTTTCACTTCTCAGCCTGTCCTGCAGCAT